AGTAGTGAGGACTCGACATGTGTAACCTAATTCTTAGATGCAGGAGGAATTCTGCACTCCCTGCTTCTTTAAATTGAAGATGCCCTGACCCACCAAGGATTGATTTAAAAAGGGGGAAAGACCAGATCAAAGGAAGGAAGGCAGCAGTAGATTTCATTTTTTACTCTATTATCGATATGCATCATTATTTTTTACATCTTCAGCACATGATTGCAAATATTTGTTTATAATTCTGAAGGTCCCCAACATAATGTGTGTATCAGGACAAAAGCAAAAAATTGAGCTAATTGTATATAAGAAACTTGGAATTCTCAATGCCTGTGCTGACAAATATCCTGACAAATAAATACTATACTCATTCAGTATTACATAGTGATTTCATTTGCACAAAACCTCACAAGGCTCTGCCACTTCAGTCAAATGTCTAGAGCACTGGGAAAAGGAAGAACGTGTTTATCTTGATCTCCAAAAAGGGATTTAAGGGAGAGAGGAGGCAGTATATTAGACTGTTTTCATTGCCTGTCAGCTGTGGTAAACCTGAGCTGTCTGCAGTGACTCTAGATAAGCAGCAACAGCAGCAGAGGCCTTAGCATGTATGTGTGACTGCATTCATTTGTACTTCTTATGTATCTCAACATTTCTAAAGGCTATGTAGCATCTTTGGTGGAGCCTTTAACAATTGTGTCTCTGCTAATCACTGGCTTTCATGTGGTGCCCTTAATTCTCAGGTCTGCCAACTTCAATGAATGAAGTACTGGATGAGGCTTAAGTTTATATTGAGAGTGGGTAAAGATCCTCTTTCCTCTCAGAAACAGCCTTTATTTGGTTCTGTTGGCGTGGACACTCTTCAGCAGGGTACCCTAAGATGGTGCTTGTTCCTAATGTTTCATGGTATTGCTTCTCCACTTAGACCTTGAAGGCAACAAAGTGGGGTCTTAGGAGAGTCTCTCTGTTTGAATGGCTCCTGTGTTTAAATGGTTATTGATGCTAGTTGGGCAGATAAATTAAAAGTTTGTATCATGCAGTAGAAAATGTGAGAGGAATAATTTGGGAACTGAAGCGTGGCAAGTGACCTAATACAGAAATGCATATATTAGAGTTTAATGACTGATGAGTGAAGCTTACCTACTTCATGAAGATGTTATGTGATGAGAGTGGTTTTCCCCAAGTTTTTCTGTAGAAGGTTGGTAGGGCAACATATTGAGGAATAAAACAATGGTTCTATCTATGTGGGCTCTTTTTATATTCCTGGATTGTGAGGAAAATGGAGACAGACTGGTCAGACTCCCTCACCTCATATCCGGCTTAGCATGGCTCAGCCTGTCTATTGTAAATACATTAACTGTGCGTGTGCGCCCAGGTGTTCCTTGGTTATCTGACTCTAGTATAAAGGACAAGGGCTCTGATCCACTAAGAGGTTGGGTGCTGAGCTCGCATCCAAATAAAGTATGTCAACCTTGCCAGCGGCTCCCAGGATCTTTTTCCTAGCTTGTGACCTGCATGTAAGGGGATTGTGACCCAGCATGCATATGTGGAGTTTGTGTCCCAGTCTGCGTATAAGGGGTCTGTGACATAGTTGCATAGAATAGGTTTGAAGGGTCTGTGACCGAGCCCAACAAGTGGATGCCGATTAGGGTTTGTGTAACTATTCCAGCATGATCATTTCTGAGTCAGGCAGAATGGATTTTGTCCCAGTCCAGATTCTGCCTCCTTGGTTGGAGCTTTTGTTGTGAAGTATTCTGAAATCATTAAAACCACTTGAGTCAGCAGCGACCCCTATAAATCAGGAGCTATTGTATGTGCCCTTATTCTACTGATGCATACTTCAAACACAGGGTCATCGAAGGTGAACCAGGGGGTACTGCTTTCTTTTCACTGACTGTTAAGTAGCTATGTTTGTTAGCATTTGTTTGTGGTTAGGGGAGCAGCTTTCATTTTTGCATGTCCATCCCCACCCCACCCCCCCATATCCCAAGATAAGGCTGATCAGAGAAAGTTTATTTGTATACTCTCTTAGTCTCTCCTATAACTTTTCTCTTTAATTTCCAAATTAAATGAATCTTCTCTCATGACAAATATTTCTTTAGCCCAGAAATAATATCCTTGGTGTGTTAAGCTCTCATTAGGTTTCTTCTGAATTCAAAGGAGAAGAAATGTTGCCTTTTTAGAAAATGTCAAAGCAGGGCCGGCCTGTGGCTCACTCGGGACAGTGTGGTGCTGATAACACCAAGGCCGTGGGTTCAGATCCCATATAGGGATAGCCGGTTAGCTCACTTTGGCAAGCGTGGTGCTGACAACACCAAGTCAAGGGTTAAGATCCCCTTACCGGTCATCTTTAAAAAAAAAAAGAAAATGTCAAAGCATCAGAACCTAAGTTTTAGCTTAAAAAGGGAAGATGTGCTAAGTTATTGAACTCTTGCTCCTTCAAGTTTGTACCATTATTTTGTTAAAAATACAGAGTAGAATGGGTAAGTGGCACAGCATCTCTGGGAATAGCTTGGTTGTGGAATGAGGGAGCAAAGACCCCTGAGGTGGAGGGTGTATTTAAGCTATTAAGCAGCTCTTCATTTGCTTCGATACATTTTTCTGAGCTTGGTCCTTTATCGGCCCATTACTAATTTTGGAGCTGTGTAAGATTCTAAGTGGTTGGAAATTATCAAGTACATTAGGAAAGAAAATAGTGTTTCTGAGTAGAAAATGGCCCCAGCTCTCTCTTCTAGGCAGCAAGGAGTGCTTAGCTCCTGACATAGATTGTGAATATCAGATAGGCTCAGCACAGTGTCTCCTTTTTGTTCCTTTCCCCCCTTTCCAATTTTATTTTAATAATTAAAAATACTGCTGATCACACTGAATGACTTCTAGCAGAGAGGCAGTCTGTCCCAGAAGGACCAGTTGTGGGCCATCGGGTTTATGATGACCATAAAACCAGAGCCAGATCAGAGCGTGGCCTTCCTGAGTGACAGGGTTTCTGCCTCTGTCAGGGTCCTCCATCAACTGACTGCTTTGTATATTTGTTTTGGTTTGGTTTTTTGTTCTGTTTTGTTTCCTGGTGCATGTGTGAGTGTGCATGTGTGCGCGCATTTAAAGATATAAATGAAACAGGTATGTAATGCCCTCTGCCTGTTAGAAAGACTAAAGCCATAAAAATAACAAACGGTGTGTATTTGCTAGAATGTCAAAGTTATGAGTTTATTTTGTAATGATGTGCTCCTGCCTTCATGAGGTAAACTGGCCGTGGCGGAGGTGTTATTAGTAATATGGACTCAGTGGAGCAGAAAGTCAAGTGACCGAGAGATCAGTGTATCAGTCAGAGAGAGGGCAAATGGAAAGAGACAGCAGGAGAATGAGAAAAGAGCTGCAGCACCTGGGCTGAGATTAAAGATGGACTGAGAGGAAGATGGGAGCCCAGTGGTCTGAGATGATCTCCCCCATTCTTAGGGCTCTAAAAGGAGATTGGGAGAGAAAGGGAGCTGCCAGCACGTTTCTCAGCTTGGGGCTGCCTGTAAAGGCTTGTTCTCTGTGCTTCCTTATCAAGAAAAGCAGTAATCTGAGAGCAATTTTGCTTTCCATATTCTTTTCAAAAAAGTATCTTACGCCCTTCCTAGCAGAAGTTAAATGGAACCAAGGCTAGCAGGTTCACATTATGGTTATTACTTTGGTCACCAACTTCCTCAGCCTTTGGAGGGTCTTGATGTAGGGGCTCACCTAGCATGCAGGTGAACTTCTCACAGCTCCTAACAAGAAAGGGAAGAATGGGAATATACAGGTAGTAATTTGCTGGCCTTTAATTTGTTAGCTTCTTCCCAGAGACTGAAAATGAATAAAAGTTAGTAAGGAAGAAATTTCATGTCATCGTTATTTTTTAAAGGAGGAGGAGAAAGGGAAAAGAAAGATAAAATATAGTAAGTGCTCTACAACTGTTTAGAGCTCTCCAGGGTTACCCTAGATGACTGGCAATTACTACACACTCAGCAGTTTGCAATAGGCAGTGATCGGGCTGCCCGGCTTCCATCTGCTGGGTCAGAAAACCTCCCTCCTGAAAGAAATTATTAACCAATCTTCAAGGAAAAAAGAAACCCTACAATTTCCAAGTCCAAGAATATTTTTCTCCTTTTTTTCTTCTTTAAAGGAAACTTTGTTGTTTCCAATTGCAGGTGCCCTTTGACCTTACAAGGGTTAAACTCCCTCAGGGATACACTGGAGATTGAGGCCCTGAATTCCCTCTAGCTTTGGAAGGAGAGGGAGGGAAAGACAGAGGGGAGTGGGGAATTGGGTATAAATCATAGTCCTGCATCCAGCACACAAAGAGGACTTAGGACTCAGGGGTTCCTGTATGTATCATGAGTTGCTTCAGGATTTTGCCAGCCAGCATTCGGGCTTGTGGTGGGGGAGAACAGCATTAAAAATAAAATGTAAGATGGGCTGGCTGTTTAGCTCTGTTGGTTAGAGCATGGTGCTGATAACACAAAGGTCCGGGGTTCGATTGCTGTACCAGCTAGCTGCCCAAAAAAGAAAAAAAAAAAAAAAATCAAATGTAAGGAAAAAATAGTCCTTTAAAAAAATGAGTAGCCCAAATCCTCAAAGAATATTTAACTGAGACTAGTCACTAAAGATTGTCAAAAGACAGGCATGTTATCTTTTTTGTGTATATGCCTAACAACTCTCCCAGACCTGCACATGATGAGGTAGCCTATGCCTTAGGGTCCCACTCACCACTGCAGTTTCAGTTCAGAGTCGAAGTACGCTACACATATCTGTGGCAGAGAGAGAGAGAGAGGCTTGTTGGTTATTGAATTGCAACAGTACATGTGATTGTTAAAAGCCTTTTTTGTTTTCTAAGTTTTCCTTTTAGGGGGAAGTTCTAGATAATCCCTCAGAATATCCCACAGAGCCTGGAATCTCTGTCTTGTGAAGAAAAGACACAGTCCCATTTCAGTGAGAATTATGAAATAGGCTCTGCCTTTATTATAGAGACAAATTTCTCGTTCTCATTTCTCTAGGTCCTCGGGAGGGAAGTGTACACCTCCAATAATCAGCTTGGGGGCATCCAGATCATGCATAACAATGGAGTGACCCACAGCACCGTTTGTGATGACTTTGAAGGGGTTTTCACCATCCTGCACTGGCTGTCTTACATGCCTAAGGTGAGCCCTTCCCACCCAGCACTGACATAGCCTGCAGAACCCATCATTTCCACCACAGCTCACTGCCTCTGTGTTTGAGGTCTGGTATTGGTGAGGAACTTTTTATGAAGTACTTCTGTGAAAGCTGTTGATTTCTCTTTTTCTTTTTTGTTTTTCTATTTCTTTTCTCCTATGATTTCTCTTTTCCTTAAAGCCTTCTTTTGGCTCTTCCTTTAAAATGCCTTTGGATTTCATTAGTTAGGCCTCTTTCTAATGTTTTTCAGCCACTGAAGCCATCATGACCTATCTAGGCTCAGATCTCAGCATATTAAGGCTTCCTCCTCATTATGGTTTTTTCCCTTTGTAATAGCCATCCATCCTTCTGGGGTGCTTCCCAGAAAGCACGGGCACACTGAAATCAAGAGTCAAAATGCACCACTTTGTGCCAGCCTCCTAAACGAGTCTTGAGACCTGTGCATATTCCTTGGGGCTTGGCATGTAATTGGGATGCTTCTAGCTGATGATTGGGGCTAATGGGTGTAATTCTGTATGTGGGCCCTGGTGTCTTTATCTATAGCTATTATTGCTGAGTTGGATTATAGGACTGTTGTTCACTGATTGTTCTTCCCTTTCTCTCCCAATCTCCTTTTAGAGCATGCACAATTCAGTTCCTCTCCTGAACTCCAAGGATCCTATAGATAGGATCATCGAGTTTGTTCCCACAAAGACCCCATATGATCCTCGATGGATGCTAGCAGGCCGTCCTCATCCAAGTATGTATATGTTTTAGGAACCTGTGGTACCCTGGCTCTCAAGCTTTTAGTTTCCCTTTCAATCACTATCCAATTTTTGCATAATAGCACGTGACTAAGAAAACAGAGCTAAGTACCTAGAAATGAGAAAGATCCGAAAAATAGCTCTCTGAAGAAAAAGGTAGGAAATCCGTCATGAACAAATGAAAAGTAAATGAAATGAGATTTACAAATCAGCCATTGAGTCATAAGCAATGCAGATACTGATACATTTTTCTGTTTATTCTGTTATTAAAGCACTTATTGCTTAATGGGTTCAAAGATTTTAAAATAGTTAAATATAAGCAATAAAATTATAGAATTATAGGAACAGAGTCTTTGACCATCTTGTCCCTATAAACAAATTGAGATTAATCAGGTCAGTTTTATTTTTTTATTTTTTATTTTTTTTTCCTTTTTTTTTGTCTTTTTTCGTGACCGGCAACGGATCGCAACCCTCAGTGTCACGCCCGTACCGGACTGGGACCGGCCACGGGATCGCAACCCTCAGGGTTGCTCCCGCCCCTCGCTCAGCCAGTGAGTGGCCGGTCTGTATGTGGGATCCGAAGCCTCATCGGGAGCGCCACCGCGCTTCCCAAGCGGTGCACTATAGCAGTGCGCCACCGGGCCAGCCCAATCAGGTCAGTTTTAGAAAGTGTCTTTGAGACCCTTAAATGTAGGGTCTTCTCAACAAACAATTGCTAAGCACTCACCCCACATGTGCCCTTTTCCTATGATATTGGTAATAATATTGGTACTTGCTTCAGTTATTAATGTAAGGTTACTTTGTAAGACAATTTATTCATGTAGAGATTATCTGGGACTTTTAGTTCTATAAATATTTAGAGTGAAAACAAGCCCGTCCTTCAGCTTTATCTAATATATCCCTCTGCCTTTGAGCTGATTTTACCTAACTTAAAAATAACTAAAAAAGAGGTAACTCTATGTAAGGCAAACATACATTCTCATTTGTCCTTCCATTTGGCTGCTCTAGTAAACCGTACTTATCTGGAGGTTCTTTTGTGAAGCCTCAGATACCCCTGATACATTTTAAATCTATTTTTTCAGGTTGTGTGAGGAAGGGTTTGTTCTTTTTTGCATGTTTATTAAAACCATTTCAAAGAAATACATATATATAAAAGAAGAATGGGTTGCAGAAAATATTTTATTAAATTTAAGAGTCATGATTGCTGAAAGAAAAAGAAGACAATAAACTCTTGTGGGTACAGTACCTTCTCTAAGCCAGGTGGGACTATAAAGCACTTTCACATATATTATCTTATTTGAGCTTACTACCTCTGAGAAATAACCATTTTACAAGCTCAGAGAAGTTGAGTGATTTGTGCAAGATCACACAGCTATTACTTAGGAGCTGGGGTTTCATCTGTAGCCCAACTTTAGGTATTATAGAAAATTACCATCCAGGGCTGGCCGGTTAGCTTATTTGGTTAGAGCACGGTGTTAAAACACCAAGGTCAAGGGTTTGGACTTGCAGACTGGTCAGCCACCAAAAAAAAAAAAAAAAAAAAATCACCATCCGGGGTTCGATCCCTCTGGTCCAGCCACCAGAAAAAAAAAAGAAAAAACACCAGAAAAATGTTGATTTTAATTTATAATTTTACATGACTTCAATGCCTTGTCATGTTAATCTTAATAAAACTAAATAATTTTTCTTACAGAGCCAGAAAAATCACCATACTTATCTTCTCCTTACCTCTTTTTTTTTGAGGGGGGAAGCAGCTGGCTTGTCCAGGGATCCAAACCCCTGACCTTGCTGTTATAACACCACACTCTAACCAACTGAGCTAATCAGCAAGCCCCCTACCTCTTATTTTTATACCATGATTACGATAAGAACAATGAGCCTAAGATTCTTATCAGCCTTAAAATCTAGGATTTTTCTGGGAATGAAGTAGGCCTCTTTGCTTTTTCAATTCAGAATAAGACTCAGTGAGTGTTCTCCTGGGAAATATGGGAGTCATCTTAAATGGCTTCTAAGTTCTACCTCTGAACTGAACATGACCTACTCTTCAGGGACAGTGAAGCCCAACTACAATAGCCAATGACTCCTCCCTCCACTAATCAACATATAAGGCAGGAGAATTTTTTTTTTTTTTTTTTGGTCAATATACAATGTAGTTAGTTATTGTGTCCCATCACCGAAACCTCCCTCCCTCCTCCCTCTCCCCCCTCCCACCCAGATGTGTCCCCTCCATTTTCGTGTTGTAAGAACTTCAAAAATAAAAAGTTGTGGTTGTTAAGGAGAAGTTTTTAAAGAAGAAAACATTTCCATTTCAAAATTAATTCTGTAGTTCCAAATTATTGTTATTGAAGTAAGAATCATAAAATGATCCAAGCATATAATGTTAAAATTTCAGCATCCTGATGGACCTAGAAATTTGGTTTAGAACCTTCATCAAAATTTGAGCCCCTCTTTCATGGGATAAACAGAAGTGACTGTGTAGGTGGGCATTATCCTGGCCATTATTAATGAGATCCACAGAATAAAATGAAATTTGTGATAAACTAAGTTTTCTGTTTTTTGGATAATATTTTTTCATCTACTTCCTAGTAATTCATCCTGCTGTCTGTGTGCAGCTAACACTCACTCCCAAATCGAATGACTTCAGATTTTAATTTAGTGGAAGCGTTAAAGAAAGCAGATGATTCCCTGTGATAAGTTAAAGCAGATATCTTCTAGGTGAAAAGTTAAAGTCATTTATTAGAGGAGATAGTGCTGTGATATTCTTCAAACTGAAGCCCAACACGAGACCAGAATCTAAACGATCGGCTTTGGGCTCATGATAGAGAGATAATTTTGAAATGGATGATCACATTTTACACTGGGGCCACAGAAGCAAGGAATGTAGAACACAGTAATTACAAGTTTAGTCTTGATAAAACACTCCCCATCCTGTTTAAGTCAGCAGAGGTTAGCTTGCTCAGATCTCCACTTTTAATTGGTTTTGGACTTGGGTTTTTAGGGGTTGGAGGGCCATGTTCAAATTAGAGGAATTACAGAGAAACTGTTGGCTGAGAGGACAAACTAAGAAACAGTTATTTGCAGAAGCTTTTATGAGGCCTTGGTCAAACATTCATACCTGTGGAACAAAATTTTTTTCTTAAACTAGAATGATATGTCTTGTCAGTGAAGGAAATTCTGTGTGTAAGGGAGGTTAATGGCATTAAGTATGTCCATCCTAACCATTATATTTTTGCTCTCTGTCAAAAGTATGTGGTCATGGCCCCTTCTTATAGAAAGATTATACTTGGTAAACTGTAAATAAAGTGGAAATATCTTGTTGCTTTTCTAGTAGAGAAACTGAGTCCCTTATCACGTCCTCAAATTTGGGTCCTCATTAATACTTATCATTTGGCTGTCTTTAGCTTTCCATTAAAAGAAAATTAGTAGAATCAAACAAAATTGTAAGGCAAGTTTTAAAATAGAAATAGACATTTTGAAAATATCTTTAATGACTTGGCTGCCTTTTAACAAATGCTTGTGGTGTCTTGAAAAAAACCAAGTTATTTATTTAAAAGCATGCAAACTCTGCTAGCTGAACCCCATCGTTTAACAATAAATGATGCTTTTGCTGATAAATGAGTGTTTTTATGCAGACTAGCAAAAGAAATAGGAGATGATGTCTGAAGGCAGATGAACATTCAACTGCCTAATGCTTCCATCTGTTATAATATGGTTTAAAACAACAAACTTCCCAAAATAATCCCCCAAATCCCACCTTAAATTCATCAGTTCCAGGGCTGGTCAGTCTGGTCCTTTGGGAGAACGTGGTGCTGAGAACAAACACCAAGGTCAAGGGTTCAGATCCCCACATGGGCCAGTCGCAAGAAAAAAAAAAAAAAAAAAATCACAGTTCCAGTGCATTGTCAATGGATTGACTGTCTTTATTCTCTCTTTGTTTTCTTTATATTCCTTTTATAGCCCAAAAAGGTCAGTGGTTGAGTGGATTTTTTGACTATGGATCTTTCTCAGAGATTATGCAGCCCTGGGCACAGACTGTGGTGGTTGGTAGAGCCAGGTAAGATCTCTTTTGCTTTGGAAGCTCTTTTCCCTCCCAACTAAAAATAAGAAAGGAAAGGGCCATGACTGTATAGATTTTTACCAATAATGCTCTCTTTGTCTGAACTTTCCAGATTATTGCCATGCCCAAGTCAGTACAACTAGAGTGGTGGTTCCCAGTAGGCATTTAGTGTGTTACTTCAATGATGCATTTAATCTGAAGGCTGGTTTTTGACATTTCCTTTTGATAATGTTGCAAGAAAAATTCTTTGAATTCTATAAAACTCAACTAGAATAGCCATAGCTCACCAATAACTTCCCCTCCCCCAAAGACCATTTTTTTTCAGGAGTCAGTGACAAGTGAATCAGAGACTAATATGCTTTCTATGTAACCTGAGAGAAGTTCCCCCACGGCATTGAGATTATTTAAGTGATAAATGTACTATATTGGATTATAATCAGATTTGAATTGCCTGCGCTCCCACCCCGCAAAAGTTTACCTAAAGCAGGAGTGAGTAGAATGAGCTGGAATAGGTTGATGGGATACCCATATTTTTCAAGTAGGAAATTGAAGTTTCTATTAAATTTTAATACGCACTCTTAAGAAGTGCTTCACTCAATAGCAAGCTCTGCATGAAATAATCTGTAGCACTCACTATAACAAGCACCTGCCAAGGTTGATCTTAATCTAGTTCTGCACTGCAGAGACATGCTGCCTCGGGGACCTGCATCTGGAGCTCACCTTTCTCTCAGGGGCAATAAGTTTTCCTTATCTTGGTGAAAAGCGGCACCTGCTCAAGATTCTCAGACGTGCCATATGGGGTTGAGATTTAGATTCTAGCCTTGCAAATAATTCTAGGCTTTGTGGTTCTCTCAGTGCAGCAGGTCAGCACACTTCATGTTGCTAGTGACAAGGAGCTATAAGATGGCAAATCCCATAGACAGTCTTCCACTGTGACTCTTGAATAGGAGTCAGGTCTGGAGTCTGCTCACACTGAAACTAACAGAGACTAGCTACCTGTTTTCTTTTGAGTCTCAGGTCTTTTACCTCACCCCAGGATTCTGGGTCCCAATGAGAATTATTCTCTATGCCTGGTAAAATTCCCACTGGGGAGGTGGAGGTGGGGGGTGCACTGGAGTGAGAACCCTCCTACCCAGGACTTATCGGCTTGTTATAGAGAGTACTTATTTCACACTAGGACCAACTTTTTTGAGAATTTGCCTCTTATCTATTCTGCTTCAGTTTTCCTATCTGTATGAAACATGACAGGTTTTAAGCCTCACAGAGCCAAACCTTTGTTAAGGTCTTTAAGATCCTCCCATGGGAAATAAGAAAATAATACTTTACACTTATCATTGGAAAAATAGGGATTGTTCTGTGACCAAGATCAGTCAAGCTTGGCTTTGGCTAGCTCTGCCATTGTTTATTGCAACACTCGCTCTGACTTCTTGCTTTCTTTCCGTGTGATGAGTTCTGGGCTTCTTACTCCAAACACATACACATGCTTACAAGTATATAAAACACAAATGGATCTAGCTTCTTTCAAAAGCAATGGTATTTCGAGAAATAAATATAAATGTATTCTTCTGGGATTGTTACTGTAAGTGCTGCCAAAACTCATCTTTGGTATGTATGTTTGGAATATGTGTGCTATTGGCTGTAAATTGTCTTTTATTATTCCATGGCACCTTGTCCAGGGACACACTATAAAACAAGATGTAGCATCTTCATGTGCTAGCCTGATAAAATTTATACGAAGTATAATAGAAAACAGAAGTTGTTCTGAGCTGTTTTCAAGTTCAATAAATAACTGTAATACTCGGATAAAGATGTTCTTTATTAGGTCACATGGGCCCTAATATATAAGTTATAAGTTACCGATTTAGGATGGCTTTTGCAATTACAAGTTTCCAGTTGGATTGTTAATCATTGTGAACAGAAATATTTCTAAACCCTCCTGTGTACCTCCTGCTCATTGTCTCATTGTCTAGAGGGCTTTTGATTCTGATTCAGTGCCGGTAGTTGACAAGGGGGTAGGTGGTCTCCACTCAGGCCCTTGTCAGGCCTCTTGTGATGACAGGAATCCATTTCCAGTAGCCTATGTAACAACCAAAGACCATCCTTCATGGAAAAGTTTGTTATGGAGATACTGTGGGGAATGAGAAACTATAACACATCTCATCCCCAACCCTACGGAACGCAACAGAGAGAATGAAGATTGAATCACATTTTCCAGAGTAAGGACTCAGCCTATACCTTGCATGTTTCTTTCTGAGAATTTTTCTAGGAAATCTTTATGAGGACCAAGTTGGGATTGTGTCATGTAGTATAGATGCAGAGGCTGTGAGCCTCTGAACAGTTTCTGAAATTAATATAGCTTTGAGATTAAGTATATACTTCTGATAAAGATTTCACTGATTACTACTGAAAATTATTCCTGTCCCATTGCTCTTTTCCAATGAAAGAGAAAGTTAAGAGCTTGTTTAACCACTTTCCTACTCTTGGCACATATTTTTCATTATACTCATAACACACCTCCACATACCCCATCCTCACATGCCCAGTGTAAGACCTACTGTACCCTCAAATCTAATCTGGAACCACATTATTAATATTCCATAGAAAACTATAGCTCTGTTCCTCCAAGGCCAGCACTCATTAAAAGTTACTGAAAGTTTCAGGTTCCTACTGCCTTTCAGAGCATTTCCCACCATCTTCACCAAAGAGATGCTCTAGAGTGAACTGAGAAGTTTCATTTGGCAACCACAGAAGTAGGTATGTGTGTGTGTGAGCATACTAGGATGTTGAGTCTAAATACAGAGGTTCCCCAACTACAACTCTTGGTTTGAATTTATCCTCTGTTGGGGCATTTTTGAATAAGAGTGATTCTGAGGGTGGTTTCCCACCATATTTACAGAGTAAATTCCAAATCTGTACAGTCCCACATTTAATTTCTAGAAGAGTCAGATTTCCCTCTGCTCTCTGTTTTTGTTTCCAGCTTCCCCCCAATGTTTTGATATTGGATTGAAAAATAAATGACTAGCTGTAATGCTGATATACATTGGGTTCTTATGTGGCTCATTTTTTATCAGGCTAGGAGGAATACCTGTGGGAGTAGTTGCCGTAGAAACCCGAACAGTAGAACTAAGTATCCCAGCTGATCCTGCAAACCTGGATTCTGAAGCCAAGGTAGGTCACCTTCGAGTACACTGTGCACCTGTGGTTAGAGCTTGTTTCCCTTCTGCAGTGCCTGTGGATATATTGGGAGCACTGCAAACCACCAATTTTAGAGGGAAGGGCATCAGCAGCCTTGAGTAATTTCAGACCATCATGTGCTTACTTGTAAGATGACTCTAGCTGGACTACAAGCTAAATCTGCCTAAACAATTAAATGGGCCTTTACAGTGGTCTTTTTTTTTTTTTTTAAAGATGACTGGTAAGGGGATCTTAATCCTTGACTTGGTGTTGTCAGCACCACTCTCTCCCAAGTAAGCTAACCAGACATCCCTATATGGGTTCCAAACCCGTGGTCTTGGTGTTATCAGCACCACGTTCTCCCAAGTGAGCCACGGACCGGCCCTTACAGTGGTCTTGTTGATGCTAGAAGACAGTCTCCTTTTGTTGGCAAGATGGTCTTACAGAAAGGCAGCTGAGACACTGCTGAAGTTCTCTGACATTGCACAGATTCTCTGAGCATGCATGCAGGAGTGCTACAGCTAGAATTAATAATGAAGTGTGTCTTAACGCCAAGCGTGAACACCACAGTCCATCATTTTTAAAAGGGTGGATTACATTTACACATCCTGACACCATCCAGAAAGTGAGGGATCAGGGAATCCTGGGAGGAGGCTGTTCAGCGATGTCACATCAAGTGTCTGTTGATTAATCACAGTACAGAAGAAGCCATACTAAGCACAGAGGTAAGACGACTTGGAGACTATGTATAGTTGGCTTGCTTTGAGGGGAAATGTAATTAACTCATTTAAAGTTGCCTTTGAGAAGCCTAGAATAAGGGTTCCTAGGAGTACATTCTTCCATCAGAGTCAGTTAGGTTCTCGCTTTTGACTAAAAAGTGGTGGTATAATCACGACTTATAAAGAAAAGTATTTAACAATAGTAGTCAAAGATCCAGGACCCTTTCTTACATTTTACTTCAAAGTTGGTCTTGATGAACAACAGTTTTTGTTTGGTTTGATCTTGAGTTTTCAGTTTTGTTTTTCTTTTCCTTTTTTTTTTGTCTTTTTTTGTGACCGGCAACGGATCGCAACCCTCAGTGTTGCGCCCGCCAGGTGTGGTTCCCAGACTCTGCGTTTAAGACCTATCAGGCTATCAAGGACTTCAACCGGGAAAGGCTGCCTCTGATGGTCTTTGCCAACTGGAGGGGCTTCTCTGGTGGGATGAAAGGTGATTGGCCTGGCTCTGGGCTGGAGGGGTATCTCTGATTACTGGGCACGTTGTGGCAGAGGGAGGAAGGGTTTAGATTCGGCAGAGCCTGTGCATGTCTGACAATCCATCATCCTAACCTTATAGGGATTATGGTCCCTCTGAGATATTTTCTGAGTTGCAATTTAGGAGTGAGTCATCCTGGCTATTTTATCCTACTGAGAGTTTAGAGTTCAGAAGTTTCCTCATGTGCCACTTCTAGGAAAAGCTTCAATTCTGCTACATATTTTGGCTCAGGCCCAGGCCCAGATTGGCTGCTAGCCCTCTAACAATAACAACAACAATTAAGATTCATTGAGCTCTTTTCACCAGAAACTGTGCTAACCATTTTACATGTATTATCATACATAATCATCACAACAAGCAGCTTTAAGGGGTAGGTTATATTGTTATCCTTATTTTACATAAATTGAGGTTTAGGTTAAGTAAATTTCCCAAGATCATTCAGCTAAAAAGGACAGAGTTGGGAGAGGAATGTAAAACTGTCTTACTGTAGTACAGTTAGCTGATTTTAGAGCCAAGGACCAGAACCAGATCTACTAGGATATTCCTAAAATAGAGTATCAAGCTTCCTGAAAAAGGTATTGTCCATCTACTTCCCCTTTGTTTTGGGGATGTCCTTGGTTATTGTAAAAAGAAATTTGAAAAGCTCACAAAAGAGTTATTTTTTTATTGTAGTAAAATGTACCTAATATTTAACCATTTGTAAACGTACAATCTGGTGACATTAAATACATTCACAGTGTTGTATAACCATCACTACTATCTATACCCAAAACTTTTTCATCATCCCTAACATAAACTTTGTACCCATTAAACAATAAGTGCCCATTCCCTCCTCCTCATTGCCCCTTGTCGAAGATGAGTTCTTACCCTGATATAGACCAGGGCCAATTCTATCTTCTGAATTTTGGTGCTGATGCATTCATTTACACACAAGACAAATAAGCTTTGGGGAAGATAGAGAGTCTCGTGAAAGTAGGAGGGGGAGGAACACATCTTTGGTATTTACATACAGGTCTGGATGTTTCCTACATATTATCTCACGTAAAAGGACCTAAGCTGAGAGCTTCTTGTCATTCTCCACATCCCTTGGGGAGATGTTTGCAGTTTTGGTTTCAGTACTGGCTGGGGATTATGCAGGGAGGGAAAATAAACAATTATGCCATCCCTCAGTGCACACAAACACACAGCCAGGAGCCGACTGCACTGTGGGTAAAATGACTCCAAAATTGTGTGTAATGAGTAGGAAAAGATTAGAGACAGCTCTTGCTATGCTGAAAATTGACATTAGTGGAGGGAAAAAAAAAAACTCTTTACTAGTCGGCCTAGGAGGTCTAATTCGAGCAGTAAAAATATAAATAAATAAATAAAGGCATGTCGAGATGGTATTGGTGCTTTTTTTCCAATGAGCTCTATCTGGCCGGAAGGCTATTCAGCATAATGCAAAATTAAATTATAAAAACTGGCTGAATATTTAGATGGAAGAGCCATTTGGAAGCAGTTTATTTAGACGAACCGGCAATGACCCACAACAGGGAGACATCAAGCGTGAAATTTACTAGAAATTAGCACCAGGGTCCCAGCCTCAGCATGAATAGCTTGATAGGATGCAAATCCCAGTGATATTAAGCTACCTCACTGCTGGTGCTACAGGGTCACTCTCAGTTGGCTTTTCATGTTATACTTATTATTTTTTCCCGGGACAGGTTATAAATAACAATAAAAAACATTTATTGAAAACTTTAACTGGAATGAAAGTCTATTTTAAAGTCTCTGATTACTTGGATGTTGAAATACAGTGTTAGCTGGCCATAATGAACTCATGAGAGACATTATGTATATGCAGCTTGTGTATGCCTAATGTTTACCTTCAGCTTCTAACAGATAATCTTCCCCAAGCCAGTAAGATCTGTTCCAGTTTCGAGAGTATCGGACACCTATGAAAACACTCTGCCACCCTGCTCCCTTATTTGGTACATGTGGCTGTCACGCTTTATCCACATTGTATAACAATATAGGCCCTAGACAGGGTTGGTGCCTGGGTGCTGAGAACACACTGCAAAGGCTATGTGCAATCACTATTCATACAGAGGTGCTTTGCTCAGAATGCTAGAAAACTCCAAGCTCCTGCCTCTCCAGTGAAGAACTTACCAGTATATCCCATTCCTAGTTATATTTCTGAGTCTGAGAATTGACAGTCAGCTAATGCATAGCCTTAAAATTCCCTAGATTGATTTCTAGCATAAACCCCGCCCTACTACTCTTTTGCTCTCTCTTAAATATGAAGGGATTTCAGACAGTTGTGTCAGATTGTTGCCAAGTGTTTCAACCTACCTTTCTTTTTTTTTTTTTTTTTTTTTTTTAAAGATGACCGGTAAGGGGATCTTAACCCTCGACTTGGTGTTGTCAGCACCACGCTCAGCCAGTGAGCGAACCGGCCATCCCTATATGGGATCCGAACCCGTGGCCTTGGTGTTATCAGCACCGCACTCTACCGAGTGAGCCACAGGCCGGCCCCTCCATTTTATATTTCCACCAACAATGTATGAGGGTTCCAGTTTCTCCCATCCTCACTATGCTTGTTATTTTCCCTTTTGTCAATTTTAGCCATTCTAGTAGGGATGGAGTGGTATCTCACTGTGGTTTTGATTCGCATTTTTGCAGCTGCAATTCAGCATGAGCCTGTTGACTGTAGAGTTTATGTGTTTGTTTATATTTTAATAGCCTACTTTTTGGGTCTTTTGATGGTGGATTCTGGGTCTGTTGATGTTCCAAGTTAAATGGAGGCATTATGTTGGTCCCAAGCATGTCAGCTTTAATGAAACCTGATGTCCCTTTTCTACTTGCAGTCCTGAGACCTAAAGATATTTGGCAGGTAGATCCAAATCCTTCACGTAGCTGGTAGTGTCATCAGTACAATTTCTGACATTTCTGAACATAGAGGAAATCCAGGCAGCATTTAGAAATATTCAGTCATTTGTTCAAGTCTTTTCTGGTTTTTATTTTATTCAGACATTTATTAGATGTTGGAAAGCAGATTTCCTCAGCCTCAGGCTCTCTTTTTTAGCAGTAAGGATGATGAGTTAAGAATGAGCTAGTAGAATGTGGACTTCAGTGCCAAAAAGATCTGGATTTGGGTCTTATCTTTGCCATTTAACTAAGCCTCACCTGTAACTTGGATATATGGATAATATGATATTCTGATGACTAAATGATTTATGTGTTTGTGTATATGTAATCATGTTCCCTGGTACATAGCAAGCTAACCATGATGATGAAAAAGAGGAACCAAAGTCCATTTCACCAAAGTAAAAAATGCAAACACACTCATCTTCATTCCAAACTGTTTGCATATACCATGAAATCAAGGTTTTTTAAATTAAATGAGTGAAAATACATTTATTTTTTTTCCGTGACCGGTAAGGGGATCGCAACCCTTGGTGTGGTGTCGCCCGTACCGCGCTCAGTCAGCAAGCGCACCGGCCATTCCTATATAGGATCCGAACCCGCGGCAGGAGCGTTGCTGCGCTCCCAGCGCCGCACTCTCCCGAGTGCGCCATGGGCTTGCCCGAAAATACACTTTTTTTTCCTTTTTGTCTTTTTTACTGACCGGTAACGGGATCGCAACCCTCAGTGTCACGCCCGTACTGGGGACCGGTAACGGGATTGCAACCCTCGGTGTTGCGCCCGCACCTCGCTCAGCCAGTGAGTGGGAACCAGTCTCCACATGGGATCCGAACCCTCGGCGGGAGCGCCACAGTGCTCCCAAGCAGCGCACTTCTCCAGTGCGTCACCAGGCCGGCCCTGAAAATACATTTTAAATAAAGTCTCCCCCTTCTTTTGGGAGCTGAATCTGTTAATCATAGATTTTCATGTAGATACATCTTTAACAAATAGAAGTGAGTGAAGAGGCTGGAAACTTTGTCTTCATTTACTTCTAACTTTTTTTTTTCTTTTGCAGGTAGAATGACTTTTCGTACTTTTATTGTTTTATTTTCTCCTTTTATCTGTGCCTTCTATTTCTTATCTATGCATGATACCGTTGAGGGCCACTCCTTTCTGTGACTTGTTCTGAGACTGTACTCTTGGCAGCACTGAAAAATGTACTGCTAATTACACAATTATTTTATTATGTAGCACTGGTTGAAATACCCACTAAAGAATTAATTTAGTTAAAATAATTTGAACTGAGCAATTATTTTCATAACCACAGAATTAGCGTAAAGTGCTTAAAGTCCTTTATTCCCTGCTCTTCATACTGCAGTTGTGTAATTAGCAGTAAATTTTTTTGGTCTTTGCTTTCCTCACAAAGGAATAAATGTCTTCGCTCTGATCATATATACAGAGTATATGACCATACACATTCCACATAGAGTAGGGAGTCTTTCCTGGGGCACCTTGGAATTTCTGAAGTCTTCACAGACAAGTCAGGTTAGGGCAGTGGACAAAAGCATGTGCCTTGCAGTGAACTGTGCTGACTGATGATTTGTATATAGAGCCATTTTTACTTTGGAGAAGGTGGCAGTTTAATTTGCCAGTAACTACAATGAAAGCAATTTTTATTTGGTTTGCTCTTAACTTCCTGAAAAATGCTTTTTTGCCTTGGATTTCTAGAATCAATTTATTCCAAAATGAGATCCTCTTTTTGATAGGAAAGTTTGAACTCAGTTGAACCTGTTACTTGGTGTTAGAAGGTATCCATTGTGGCTCCACTGAAGTACTCATTAAACATCTGGAATCATAAACCTAAAACTTTAGCAATGATTAGACTTCAATGAACTGGCAAATAGGAAGGAGTCCATATATAGTTGGGAAATAAATAACTGATCTAGCTTTCCAGGGACTCACTTTATTTATGCACCAGGAGTCCTTTTCTTCAGGCTGCTCCTGGCCTTTGGGGGATTATAAACTGTACTCTTTAAAAGAATTAAGAGGTGGCTCTTCTCCTTATGTGGCTGTGTGATATTTCCTATATATATGTTTTCATTTCCTCTGATTGGTACTCTATGAAAATGCAACTGTTAAAGAATTAGTTTGTTTTTCTTTCTTGTATTCTTTCCAAAGTGTGTATGTGCTCATTCTTTCATTCAGCAGATGTTTGTTTGTTTTTTTTGAGACCGGCCGCACCGCGCTCAGCCAGTGAGTGCACCAGCCATCCCTATATAGGATCCAAACCCGCAGCAGGAGCGCTGCTGCGCTCCCAGCGCTGCACTCTCCCGATTGCGCCACGGGCTCGGCCCAGCAGATGTTTATTGATCATTAACTATATTTCAGGCACTGGGCAGGACAATGGGGATACAAAGATGAAAGATAGTTTTCGAAGACAAAATTTTTGAAGGATCCATTTCCATTAGCTGCACATTTTAAGATCTCATCGTATGCTAAGTACCATGAGAGAAATTGAAAAGAGCTAGAATTGTTTCTTCCTTCAGAAAACTTAATGTAGTGGCAGAGATCACATATTGATATGAAAAATACCCAGCGTTTGTAGAGCAAGTGTGAATTAATGTGGTGAAACCTGAGTGCAGAAATTCAGGGAGGATATAAAATGGAAATGCAATCTAGAGGGCTTGCACACTGTATCTAGTGAAAGATGATACATTTCTCTTTTGCTGTCTTGTGGTTTTGAAGATCTTCTGGAATGCTGAGTGGAATACAGGTAGAGAACTGCTCTTCAGTCTTCAGCGTAGCCAAATAGGACCTGGGATGGCTGGAACCCCTAGACCTGTCACCTCTGTCCATGAGCAGCTTCCTCATGAGCCACAATGTGCCATACAAATTTTATTTTCCATGTGTGCCATGATGTGAACAATGTTTGGAAACACTGCTTTGGGTAGGATAAGTTCCATGATTTCTAATTTGTCTCATTCTCCATAGATATGTATGACCAAGTGCTGAAGTTCGGTGCTTACATTGTGGATGGCTTACGGGAGTGCTCCCAGCCTGTGATGGTGTACATTCCTCCCCAGGCTGAGCTGCGAGGTGGCTCCTGGGTCGTGATTGACCCCACCATCAACCCCCGGCACATGGAAATGTATGCTGACCGAGAAAGCAGGTAGCGTGCCTTCCTTATTTCCATTCACTGCCTCTAGGGATGCTGTAGCTATTGGTTTCCTTCTGGAGAACATTATAACCAAGACAACTTTATTTGAATCTGTCCATTCCTAAAACACTCCAAAGTCAAAAAAATGGGCTTTCTAAATAGCATCTGCTAGCATGAGAGGGAAACCGGGCTGGAATGTCTTTTTCTCAATGTAATCTCTTATCCCAGATTCATTTACCATGAAGTCCTCTATTCCAGGCACCTCCTAACTCAGAGATTCTCTCCTCCTATTTGTTGTTCAGATGTGCCTATTCACTATCTCTTCCTTAGGTGTGTGGCAGGGGGAGCTTAAAGCAAGTTGGAGTAGAAGGTCTGAATTGTTAGTTTGGAGTTCTAGGATTTTCACCCAGCTCTGCTACTGACTATTGAGAAAGTTGGAGTAGTCTTTTCTCTCCCTGGGCTACTTCTCCTTCTCTGTAGAATGAGCTGGGTGGTCACCACGGTGCACCACAGCACCCACATTCTGTGATTCCAAACCAAAGCTTCATTCTTGTTTAGAGTCCAGGGTCTCACTCTAGCATTCCAGGAGGTTGGACAACAGTGTTTATAGTACCCAAAAAAACTGCAAGGGAGAACCCCGGGCTTGTTGGGAGGTGGTACCTAAAACTAGTTAAGTAAAGCAGATCAGCTCAAACCTAGCATCTTTTCATAATCCGTTCTCAACTCTTTCCTAAGTAGGTAAACTTCACAGCATACTTCCTTGACATTTTCCATTCAAAGTCTTAACATCTAATCATTTTATTAGAGCACCCACTTCTCTCTTTTCCCAAAATATTCAGCCTTCTACTTCAAAAGCTGCTTAGGAGAGTCCAGCAGTTTTACTGTCACATCACTAGGCTAGCATTCTACACTTAGGGGTTTATTATTTTTAAGTCCTAAGCTAGCCCCTCATCTGATATCAGATCAAAGATAATTCCTGTGTAGACTTTGGAAATCAGACTGTCTGATTTCAAATCATTAACTTGGTAGATTTAGCCAAATCTTTTAATTCCTGTACCTTAATTTTCTCATCTGTAAAATGGGGATAATAATAGTACCCTACCTCATAGTGGATATAGACTGGGCATAGGATTTTTGTGAAGATTTATATGTAAGCGCTTAAGTGCCATGTACAAAGTAAACATTAGCTGTAATTTTTTCTTTTTCTTTTTTTCTGGTGGCTGGTGGGTACAGGGATCCAATTCTGGACCTTGGTGTTATCAGCACTATGCTCTAACCAACTGAACTAAGCAGCCAGCCCATCTGCTGTAAATGTTTTTTTAAAAAAGTTGTTTAGGGAAAAGTTCCTGGTGATAGAACATCATCAGCGTGCACTAGAAGTAACCTTGAGACCTTGCACTTTGCTCGTTTCCATAGCAGAGACAGTGTTTTACCTACTGCTTGGCCAAGCCTAGTGTGTCTGATCAGAGTCCTGCCATCAGACTGACAGCTCTGGTGTAGGATAATCAGCATCGACCCCTCATTGTACAGCCTGAGTGCTAGAGGTGGTTTCCCTACCATTGTGCCTACGGCATCTTTTTCTTCCCCCGCTGGAAAATAATGTGATTGCTGTCACTCTGTTATCAGCTAAAGGTGGCGGAATCTGTATTCTTCTCCCTTTGAGATGGAAGTTGACTGGTGTGGTAATGAGAATTATTTTAATTGCTTTTTGCCAGGCCTTTCTCATACCTCACTCAGACTCTTCTCTGATGTCTGCTTTTCTCCCTGGGGTGATGTCTGTGAACCATGGGTGGGCAAAACCATAATGAAGCTATTTCCTGGTCCACAAATTATAACTGGCCTCATTCTGCTGTCTTCTTCCTTTAAAGTGCCTTATTTCTGTTTTGTTTTTTCTTCTTTCTCTCTGATTCAGGGGATCGGTTCTGGAGCCAGAAGGGACAGTAGAAATCAAATTCCGCAAAAAAGATCTGGTGAAAACCATGCGTAGGGTGGACCCAGTCTACATCCGCTTGGCTGAGCGATTGGGTATGTCTGCTTGTCCTCCTGGCGAATCAATGAGCCATTCAGCTGATTTGTAATGAGTGCATTCATAGGCCAGGAGAGGAGGCACTGAAGCATTTGATCAAATTCATGATAATCTTTATTTACTGTCCTCTATATGGTAAGAACCCTGGTAGAATGACATAGTGTGTGTAATAAGAGGGAAAGTGGGCCCTAAAAAAGCAAGTCGCCCAATTTTTCTTCTGATATTTTCTTATAGTATAAATAGCCCATCTTTCTAGGATGTCTTTGTAGAGAATAATTAGCTAGAGTTGCTGTTGGGGGGGCAGGCTAATCAGGCAGACTACTGCTAGACTTAAAAATGTAGTGTTTCTGCTTATCTTTTTGGACAGCCCGCCTCATTTCTGAGGAGTGTGAGAGTCAGTGTCATGGGATAGAAAAGCCAGAGTCCCTACCCAGGCAGTGCTCTGGGGTCATCCAGAGCTAGAGAAATGAAAGTAAAGATTGCTTGCTGTGTGCTTCTGAACAGTGGCTATGGTAGCAATAGCCCTGGGAGCATTCATGCTTGATGCTTCCAGCCATTACTGTGTTGCTCATTTGTTTGCAGAGCTTTTGGAAGGGCACTTACAATTTGAACATAGGACTAAACCATGGGAGCTCTGCGATGAGCCCAGAGTCTGAATGAGTTTTAGACTCTTTTAAAACACTGATTTTCTGCCCAGGTCTCCCATTGAGAGCCTCTTGCTATGTTGGTAAAGATAATTGCTTGAGGGTTTTTTTGGGTTGGTTTGTTTTGTTTTTGTTTTTCTAAAGAAACAGAGAGATTGTTTTTAAAAGGTAGTGAAACAGTGAGTGGAAGGAGTAAAAAAGAGAGATGCTAGCTCATTTGTGTTCCAAATAGTAATTTAATTTATAAGTACCATTCATGGATGGTATACTCACCATTTAGAGAGAAAAAACTTCAGGAGTGTCTGCCTGCACTGTGGAGACTGCACATCAAGGCATTTGGAGCCCTGAGCCAGGCTGCTTGCTGAACAGGGTGACTTGGGTTACAATAAACCCTGTTTGTATCCCATTGTTTGCCATTAAGTAACCACCACCAATAACTCTAACCTACTGCAATCTGATCCTTTTATGGGAGATGCACACATACAATAAGAAATTGGCAAAGTTGTTTCTAAAATCTATTGCCACCCAGAATTGTTGAGGTGCTTTTTTTCTCTCTCTTTTCCAAACAGGATAATTACTTCTGACCAACCCCATACACTTTAATTAAAGTAACTGAAGGTCAAGAGCAAGTTACTTACAACTGTACATAGAGTGAGCTCTAAAAGCTTCAGCCACTGATAAGCATCTCACTTAGATGGTTCATAATTGCTCCCAGCATCCAGAGAGCATTGCTGCTGTTTTTACCACTAATTCTGTACAAAAGCAGCAACACACAATTGCAAGACACAGCAAATTGCATAATTTTCTTTCTTTCTTTCTTTCTTT